CATGTGATCTTTACGCAACACGCAAGACGAGGTTCGTCACAAATCGTCAATCCGGTCGTTTGTGATCCTTTCACAACACCGGGCTCGGAATGAACAAGTCGTACCCCCAATCTTTTGTGGTGTTTACACAATACGCACGCTAGGGTTTGTAACAAATCGTACGCTCAGTCTTCTGTGATTCTTACACAACGCCCAAGCAACATAAAAGCCACGGGTTCGAAACAAATCGCACCCAGCCTGTGATCTTAAAGCATCGCGCAAGCCAGGGTTCGTAACAATTCGCAGCCCCTGTCTTTGTGATCTTTACACAACACAGAAGCCAAGGCTCGTAACACATCGGTCCCCGCAGTTCTTCCCCGATCTTCTGTGGTGTTCATGCAACAAACAAGCCAGGGTTCGTAATAAGTGGCAGCCTGCAGGCTTCTGTGATCTTTACACAACACACAGCCACGTACCGCCAAGTCTTTTGTAATCTTTACACAACACACAAGCCAGGGTTGTGCCAAATCGTACCGCCCAGTCTTTTGATGGACCAAGCATGTTTTGCGGCACATACATTTCTCGTGAATCCACTCACGCGTCATGGCATACTGAAGCCAGCGCACATGACCCCTTCGGGGAGAGTCGCTGATTTATCTCAGGATGCCCTCACACATTCCCGGGCGGGTGGGAGGGCTGAGCAAGAAACTGAGTTGGATAACACGACATGCCACATGCGAGCCCATCAATCACGTGTTCCACACTTCTATGATGGACCAAGCATGTTTTGCGGCACATACATTTCTCGTGAATCCACTCACGCGTCATGGCATACTGAAGCCAGCGCACATGACCCCTTCGGGGAGAGTCGCTGAAATATCTCAGGATGCCCTCACTCCCAAAACGCCCCAAAATGGAAGTACACAAGAGGGCTGGGCTGGGAGGGAAAAGAAAACAGAGATATTAGAGGCTCGAAGAGACCACGATGCCAAGGCGTGCCCGAGGCGATGAGGATATGTCTGCGCCTTCCTTGAAAAAGATTGCCCAGCGTGATCATGCCCAGCAAGCTGGACATGGCGATGACCCTTTGAGCAGAAGCCGTGGTTTCCACTGCAGATCCTCGAACAACCAGACAAATCAAGTTCATCAATCCGGGACGCTAGCAAAAGTGTGCGCTTACGCCAAGGGGTTCCATACTGACAACAGTCAGTCACAACGGCCTGGATGTGAGCTTGTTGTCGAAGAGACTTCAACCTTGGTATCAGCCATGCACGACTGGTATATGGGTGCTCCAGAATCCAAGGAATTCGCTGATGCTCAAGCCATGCAATGATGCGTAGGGTGGCTCGCATGCAAAGATTGTCTGCATGTACTTTTTTGGCATCCTGCTCACAAAGATTTGGAAGCCCCCAGGGATACTGAGCTGAGCGAATCGCACCACTGCGATCCCTTGCGCACGAAAAAGTAGTGGATGGGGGAGCCAGCATAGCACCCAGCACAGAACCCTTGCGTATGAGTCAAATCACAATGCTTGCCATGCTCCAGCTCCCATTCGCGTGTGGACAGACCCCTCCTTCGGATGGCTCTGCTGACCCCTCCGTGGCCTGAGAACAGATCTGCAAAGTATTGGCCCTTTGTCCTTACCCAGGCATGGAAATGACCGGATAGTCTTGGCCTAGCATAATCTCCGCGATGTAGCGCTCTGCCATGGTGCAACAAAGCTGCCCAGAGACTCCAAAAGTCTTTAAATTTAAGAAAGACCCTTAATTAAAAAAAAACCCGCTGAAATCAGCCCTTAAACAAAGGATATTAGCTTAATTAAAGGTTAAAGTGTAAAACCAAACCTTAATTAGAAGGTTTTTCGCCTTAATTAAGAGTTGTGCGGTTCGAAGAAGCGCTTTTGCCTTAATTAGAGGTTTTTTTGGTGCATTCTTAATTAAAGGTTTTTGGTGTGGTACATGCAAGATGATGTCTCGTGACAGAGGCTAATAAAGCACGGTCTGAAGCCTTTTTTTGACTGAGCTGGCTCGCAAAAGTGGTGGTTTTGGATTGCTTGCTGCAAACTTCTGCAACATTGCCCTTGAAACTCCGAGCATGCTGAACTCCCCGCCCCTGCGAACAGCATGCTTCGACAATGTGTGCCCAAACGATTCGTCCCGGTACGACCACGTTCTTCGTGGGTTCGCAGGCGAGGCAGCAATTTCAAGAAAGGCATGAAGCTTTGGCTTGGCCCGGAAAAGCTTCTGCCCCGGCAGCGAGGTTAGCTTGACGAAGAGAACTGCAAACCTGCGAGCTCGGGCTTCCAGAACCTCTCTTTTCCAGACACTGTCATGAAGACAGTCGTAGCAGCTTTCCAGAACCCTCGCAGCACGTCGCATGGTCACCTCCATGTCGGAGTCGGTGACACAGTACTTCTCCACGAGCTCCCTGCAAAAAGGAACCAAGGCTCTGGTCTCCCCTGCCTTGGCACGAAGCTTGGGCCAGCTTCTTTTCTTAGCCTTCTTGTCTTTTTGTAGCATGC